TCTCTCTCTCTCTCTCTCTCTCTCTCTCTCTCTCTCTCTCTCTCTCTCTCTCTCTCTCTCTCTCTCTCTCTCTCTCTCTCTCTCTCTCTCTCTCTCTCTCTCTCTCTCTCTCTCTCTCTCTCTCTCTCTCTCTCTCTCTCTCTCTCTCTCTCTCTCTCTCTCTCTCTCTCTCTCTCTCTCTCTCTCTCTCTCTCTCTCTCTCTCTCTCTCTCTCTCTCTCTCTCTCTCTCTCTCTCTCTCTCTCTCTCTCTCTCTCTCTCTCTCTCTCTCTCTCTCTCTCTCTCTCTCTCTCTCTCTCTCTCTCTCTCTCTCTCTCTCTCTCTCTCTCTCTCTCTCTCTCTCTCTCTCTCTCTCTCTCTCTCTCTCTCTCTCTCTCTCTCTCTCTCTCTCTCTCTCTCTCTCTCTCTCTCTCTCTCTCTCTCTCTCTCTCTCTCTCTCTCTCTCTCTCTCTCTCTCTCTCTCTCTCTCTCTCTCTCTCTCTCTCTCTCTCTCTCTCTCTCTCTCTCTCTCTCTCTCTCTCTCTCTCTCTCTCTCTCTCTCTCTCTCTCTCTCTCTCTCTCTCTCTCTCTCTCTCTCTCTCTCTCTCTCTCTCTCTCTCTCTCTCTCTCTCTCTCTCTCTCTCTCTCTCTCTCTCTCTCTCTCTCTCTCTCTCTCTCTCTCTCTCTCTCTCTCTCTCTCTCTCTCTCTCTCTCTCTCTCTCTCTCTCTCTCTCTCTCTCTCTCTCTCTCTCTCTCTCTCTCTCTCTCTCTCTCTCTCTCTCTCTCTCTCTCTCTCTCTCTCTCTCTCTCTCTCTCTCTCTCTCTCTCTCTCTCTCTCTCTCTCTCTCTCTCTCTCTCTCTCTCTCTCTCTCTCTCTCTCTCTCTCTCTCTCTCTCTCTCTCTCTCTCTCTCTCTCTCTCTCTCTCTCTCTCTCTCTCTCTCTCTCTCTCTCTCTCTCTCTCTCTCTCTCTCTCTCTCTCTCTCTCTCTCTCTCTCTCTCTCTCTCTCTCTCTCTCTCTCTCTCTCTCTCTCTCTCTCTCTCTCTCTCTCTCTCTCTCTCTCTCTCTCTCTCTCTCTCTCTCTCTCTCTCTCTCTCTCTCTCTCTCTCTCTCTCTCTCTCTCTCTCTCTCTCTCTCTCTCTCTCTCTCTCTCTCTCTCTCTCTCTCTCTCTCTCTCTCTCTCTCTCTCTCTCTCTCTCTCTCTCTCTCTCTCTCTCTCTCTCTCTCTCTCTCTCTCTCTCTCTCTCTCTCTCTCTCTCTCTCTCTCTCTCTCTCTCTCTCTCTCTCTCTCTCTCTCTCTCTCTCTCTCTCTCTCTCTCTCTCTCTCTCTCTCTCTCTCTCTCTCTCTCTCTCTCTCTCTCTCTCTCTCTCTCTCTCTCTCTCTCTCTCTCTCTCTCTCTCTCTCTCTCTCTCTCTCTCTCTCTCTCTCTCTCTCTCTCTCTCTCTCTCTCTCTCTCTCTCTCTCTCTCTCTCTCTCTCTCTCTCTCTCTCTCTCTCTCTCTCTCTCTCTCTCTCTCTCTCTCTCTCTCTCTCTCTCTCTCTCTCTCTCTCTCTCTCTCTCTCTCTCTCTCTCTCTCTCTCTCTCTCTCTCTCTCTCTCTCTCTCTCTCTCTCTCTCTCTCTCTCTCTCTCTCTCTCTCTCTCTCTCTCTCTCTCTCTCTCTCTCTCTCTCTCTCTCTCTCTCTCTCTCTCTCTCTCTCTCTCTCTCTCTCTCTCTCTCTCTCTCTCTCTCTCTCTCTCTCTCTCTCTCTCTCTCTCTCTCTCTCTCTCTCTCTCTCTCTCTCTCTCTCTCTCTCTCTCTCTCTCTCTCTCTCTCTCTCTCTCTCTCTCTCTCTCTCTCTCTCTCTCTCTCTCTCTCTCTCTCTCTCTCTCTCTCTCTCTCTCTCTCTCTCTCTCTCTCTCTCTCTCTCTCTCTCTCTCTCTCTCTCTCTCTCTCTCTCTCTCTCTCTCTCTCTCTCTCTCTCTCTCTCTCTCTCTCTCTCTCTCTCTCTCTCTCTCTCTCTCTCTCTCTCTCTCTCTCTCTCTCTCTCTCTCTCTCTCTCTCTCTCTCTCTCTCTCTCTCTCTCTCTCTCTCTCTCTCTCTCTCTCTCTCTCTCTCTCTCTCTCTCTCTCTCTCTCTCTCTCTCTCTCTCTCTCTCTCTCTCTCTCTCTCTCTCTCTCTCTCTCTCTCTCTCTCTCTCTCTCTCTCTCTCTCTCTCTCTCTCTCTCTCTCTCTCTCTCTCTCTCTCTCTCTCTCTCTCTCTCTCTCTCTCTCTCTCTCTCTCTCTCTCTCTCTCTCTCTCTCTCTCTCTCTCTCTCTCTCTCTCTCTCTCTCTCTCTCTCTCTCTCTCTCTCTCTCTCTCTCTCTCTCTCTCTCTCTCTCTCTCTCTCTCTCTCTCTCTCTCTCTCTCTCTCTCTCTCTCTCTCTCTCTCTCTCTCTCTCTCTCTCTCTCTCTCTCTCTCTCTCTCTCTCTCTCTCTCTCTCTCTCTCTCTCTCTCTCTCTCTCTCTCTCTCTCTCTCTCTCTCTCTCTCTCTCTCTCTCTCTCTCTCTCTCTCTCTCTCTCTCTCTCTCTCTCTCTCTCTCTCTCTCTCTCTCTCTCTCTCNTTTTTTTTTTTTTGTAAAAACTTTTGAATGCACAAGTTGAATTTATTGCAAAGTTGTATCGTAACATGTATGATTTAATTATTAGTTAGTAAAACACGAGTGTGTAACGTTTTTAGTTTGCCTGTTTCAATTATTTCAGTGTTTTTAGAATTCTCGTTTTTTATATATACCCTCGCATTCAATACCCCTTAATTTTACCAAATTTATAATATACCTTGTACCCTTGTATAACATAGTGTTGGTAATTTTCAAGAATCCACGACTCAGCACACACAATCATAACTGGTTTGATCTTGACATTTGAGGAAAGATTTCTAATTGCTTATAATTTTCATTTAATCTTCTTACGTTGACGTCTAATATTTTTTTCTTTGTTATTTATACCTCTATGGAGAGACTCAATATTACAATAGTACACATTCGGCTTGACAAAATCCATCAGCAGGTCATCAAGCATATTTACGTTTTGCTCTATTGTATTACATAAGTGCGTTTATTTAATGATCTCGTTAAAATCTGCTAATTATTGATCCTACTAAGTCGTTGAGCTTCCTTACCAGTTTATGTTGATGTTGCAGGTTCATTGGGATAATCAGTGGGATTTATTATTTCTTAAATTTTGTTTTGTAGTATTACACACTTTGTAGGGTCATTTGTTAGACGGTTGACGTCGTTAACAGTTTTATATTTTATATTACTGTAACGACAGTATATACACTTAAGAGTTTCACTTTTCCATTCAGTAACTTTATGATTATGATCAGAACGTTTTTCTGTTCCATTATTGCATTTAAAACCACTGTGACCAAATTTTCCACAATTATAGCATGGTTTAACATTTACCATATCATATGTTTTACAACTTTGATAGCCAACAAGTACTCTGTAGTTATTAACTCTTATCTTTGTGCAACTTTCTCGACTTACTTTCAAAACCACTGTAGTAGAACTCTTCTTTTTGGTTTTACATGTGTGTAGTACTTTTCATTGTCATTTTACATTATGCTTTTTAAAATTTCGTATGTTAATATCTTTCTTAAGTTCTTCCATATCCATTTCGTTTGGATGGTCTATCTCAATTATTTTTTATTTTTGGATTGCTAAGTTGTTCAATTTTAACTTCATATTCTCCTTGTAGTGACTTTTTCAGTATTCTTTCTATTTTATTTACACTTCTACTCTGTTTGCGGTTCATTAGTTATTTACTGTTTTTTAATGTATACATTTTTTGTTTGTACATTTTTTGTTTTAGATATTATTCGTGCTACTTCATTTTTCATATTGACATTGTTTTTTCCATTTTCATTTTTTTATATTATTATTTTAGGAATTGTTGTTTTATTAAGTATTGTTTTACTTAATGCATCAGCAAAAGACTTTTTGTTAATATTTTTGACGGTTTATTTTTGTTTGACAGTCAATAACACTTAATTTTGTTTATGTATTTCTATTAGTTCTTTTGAAATAGCATTTTTTTTATTTATCTTTTTATTAAGTTGTTTTAGTAGCACATTCCTGGTTTTGATTAATTCGTATTCTGCGTTATAGTTGACCATAGTGGAATTATGTAGTTCTAGAGATTTATTTTCTAAGTCACATAGTATTTCTTCGTCAAATCATTAGTTTATTTAATGTTTAATTAGGTTATAATCGTTTTTGCCGTGATAGTAAGATCGGCCTTTCCTAACTATAAATCTTTTGTCAATCAGTCCCAACTTTGTTTTGTATATCTATTTTTGTACCAATTATAAAAATTAAGTTATCTTCATTATCTTATTTTGCTGCTATGGCACAAGAAAATATTAGTTTATGGACTTCAGGTGACTTTTTTATTTTCTGAAACAATCGTATACAAAAAATGATATAAAGTTAGTATCTTTAAGTTACTATAATTTAAGTTGTTAACAGAACAATTCCTCGTAAATGTTGTAGTATTTTTATTTATTCTTCAATATTATAAGTAAATTTTGATATTAAAGTATTAAGACACAAAAATGATAAAGAAAGTAACTAATAAAGATCTTTGTTTTTTAAAGAGAAACAATTATTATTATTTACATCTAAGAAACAAAATTGCATACATTACAGTTTAGAGTACTAACTTAATCACCAGTTATTAATCATTTCAGTTTTTTAAAACTTTCGTGCAAGTTTTACCGGAGTGCTCAAGTAGAACATAAAAATCATTTTGGCGTTGAGCTAATATACTATAAAAATACCTGGATCACTTCGATACGTGGCTTAGGTAGGTAAAGAATTTGACTGATAATGCTGTAATTGACTCCCATGTTTAAGTTAAGCTGCTACTTGCTCTTGACTCTGGTGTGTATTTACTATAAAATGGCTTTTTTTGAATAACTTCTCATATATATTTATTGATGCATATGTAAATTTGTATTATTTAATCACTAATATTCATGCATGACTTATTTATTTTAGACATGTTCCAGAAAAATTATCTAATTTTATCAATATAGATAAGCCTGAAAGTTCTAAGTACAATGGAAAAGTGGCCAACCATATCTTACTAATAAGACACGGACAGTATCATGTCAATAAGCACAATGATGATGAACGACGTTTAACTGAATTAGGTAAGAGCAATTTTATTTTTGTAATTAATGATCTATTAGTATCAATCTTAAAGCAAAATATAATCGTACTAGATCCATTAGTAGCGAGAATTCTGTTAGACTATATACCCTGTAATGCATCGCCTAAATTCCGGTTCGGGCTTGTTTCATGATTGCAAACTCTTTTTCTTTTGATTGTAACTTCTTTTTTTTTTGATAAAAATCGTATAAGGTATACAATTCTATTTAACGGCTGAAAGGCTAAAGTGCAAATTTTCTGAGCATCGAAAACCGTTTTTCTGTTCGTTCATTTTGACAGATTTAAATACGAAAAAATCAAGGAAAGAGAAAATAGTTCATTGAATAACGAAAAAGAAGTCGTATGACAATTATTCTAAAAGCAACGTTTTCTCCGTTTTATACAGAAATTCGTATACAAAAATGGACAATTTAAATAAAGCTATAACGAGTATAAGATTTATACCTGACTCAAGTGCAACAGAGCAACTTATGATCTCTCGAAATTTCTTGAAAAATTTTGACAGTAAAAATTTTGGATTAACTTATTGTGCAAATAATGATTTCAATTGAGAACTAGAGATGGAGGTAGTAAGCAGTATCATTGGAATAAATAAATAAAAATTAAGATAGAAATAGATCATTAAGTCTGTTCCAAAAAACTTATTAAACATTTGCTTTTTTTAAGGAAGATTATATATCGTAAACTGTATATATGTCTCGGCAACAAACGTGTCACTTTTTTTTAATCTGTAGTAAATCAGGAATTTATTTGAGGCACCTATACACTTTCTTAATAGTGGATTGATTTTGAAGTTTAAAATTCATTTTAACAGATCGTAGTTTATATAACAGAAAATTTGAAAACTGAGAAAAAAGCTTACCCAAATACGTGACTTGTAGGAGCATTGCGTGGTTTAAGCAAAATTAGTAGAATATAGTCTGATAAAATTATAGAAAAGAACAAAAATATGCATAATTCCGAACCAATTGCGATTAATTAAGGGAGAAGCTAGAGCAATAGAGTAACAAATTTCGAATGAAATAATGGCAAAACCCACATCCCTGCAAGAAACAAGTATGAACAATAAAGTTTAAAGATGTACTTAAACCTTCGAATGCTTAGTAAGTAATCATATAGAAAGTGAAACAAAAAATCAAGGTATAGAGTTTCGGGATTCCTGAAAGAAGTGAAGCTACTTAGCATTTCATCAGCGATCTCGTATGGCATAATACTCTGTACCATGATTGTAAGTATAATTGGCATCGTACAACCCGAACACTTTACAACTTCTTCTGTGTTTATAAACGCTCACTCTGATAACTTTCATGATGTTACATAAATTCAAAACCAGGCAACTGCTATTGCATGTCCAGTATTCGAATTTTGATGTTGCTATTTTATCAAATGATATTGTAGTTTAAATAGTCTGAATCGGCACTTGATTAATTGTGTGACTCCTAAATTAAATAAAACTTATAGTAACGGCACATTATTATAACGTCGAATACGTATGGCAATCTAATTGATGCCTTGAGAAAAGAAAAAAAACATGTTTTGTCCCGAGAGCACGTCTAGACTGATGACGTGCTTCCTGCCTTGTGATACTGATTAAGGTGCTGTAACATATCTTGGAATTCCCTTATATAATAACTGTAGTCGATTCCGGACACTTTTAGAAGAGTACATAGAAGAGACTAGACGCCTAGTGGACAGTTAGTGAAGGGTGAAGTAGAGAGTTTTCACACTCTCCTCTCCCAGTTGCAACGCGGTAAATTAGTGGAAGTAACGATATGAGAAAACAAGAAAACTGCTTAATCAGAGAACAAAATAGATAGGAGGTTATCTCATAGGGTCAGAGAGAATTATAAGAGCGAATGCCAGACTCTGAGACTGCATATGGCAAAGGGAACGAAAGAAGCCAGGGTTAGTCCCAGAAGACCGCAGACTAACCTATTAGATTTTTTTTTTGAATTTTGTATTTAATTAATGTTTAATTGTTGGGAGCACTAATATGGTGACCTAAGGAATGTCATGAAACAAGAGAAAAAAGTGTTTTATCCCGAGAGCAAGTCTGAAATTACCAGAAAAGCTGACGGCTTGTTTCCTGCCTTAGATACCTATTTGGGATGCTCTTATAAACTTGGAACTTACTCATACACTAACTGCAGTCGACTTCGGACACTCGGTAATAAGCGAATAGTAGAGGCTAGACGCCTAGTGGACAGTTAGTGAAGGGCGAAGTACACAGTCTCCGTATACGCACATGCACACACGCACATGAGCGCACCCGTGTATATACACGTATTGCTGATTAAAAATTAAAGGGGAAAATATTTTATTTGGAAAGGCTCTTTGTTGCCGTTTAGTTTGAAAATGCTCTCTCTTACTTAGGAATCACAAGAGGTTCTTTATTCAACTGGAAAAGGCTACCTCTTGCGGTCTTATCTAAAAATACTCTTAATAGGCTAAATTGACAATATATAAATGTATTTACGTCGTATTCTTTGATAATGTAAATTATAATGACTGTATAACAAACATCTACCAAAAAACGAAAGGAATTTCGTCCACAGACTACTTATATATGGTTTTTGACCATTAGTAGAATAACGGAAAAGTTATATGACAAAACATTTATTTTTTGAAAAGAAAAAAAAATACAGTAAACTATTGTTGAGTATGCTCACATACACAAAAACGTGTTTGTACATGGATTCAGTCTTAATGTTTTCATGCTTTATTTCTTTCTTGGACAAATAATAACACTAATAAGACACCAAATTTCTTTTATATTAGAATTAGTAGCTAAACTGTTGTTCACTACATCTTTATGATTGCCAGCAGTTGTAACTTTATTTTTATATGCAAAAAATTTTTGCATATAAAACTGACAGTTAAAATCATTAGTTGTATTAAGTCTTTGAGTAGTAGTATCTAAATTGTTATACTTCTTAAAAATATAGAACTATCCTTGTAGTAAATAAAAGGGTGTTATACATCATCGAAAAGTTTTATGTTATAATACAACGTATCTAGTAGTGCATTATACTTGTTATTTAATTAGGCTATATTGCTGAGTGATGATGTGTTTTGAACAGTGACAATTTATACTACAGTTAATCTTGCATTACACAGATTTTTTGTAAGTTTTAAAAACTTTCTATTTCATAGTAACTTATCCTTAGCAAAATAAATTTTTTTTTTCTGTTTTAAAAATAAATATAATACTATACCCATTTTAATTTTATTGTTTGGACCAACACTTCTTTCATATTTCGGGCTGATTTTACTATTTTAAATGCATCCATTTTATTATAACATGAGCTACAAATTTTTTCCAAGTCAGATAAAGAGGCTGCCTTAGCTAACATCACTGTGAAGACTTGGGTGACTAATCCATCATTAATTTCAATTAACAGATCCTCATTTTTAAGTGTGCTTAAGGCTGATAACACAGTTTTTTTACTTTTTAAAAATTAATGTCTTTTGACGAACACTCTAGTGAAAAAAAAAAAATTCTGGGATGACAATCTTCAGACTTCACGAGTTTTGACCAATTAGATAGATAATATTTTTTATTCTACTTGTGGTGACTAAAGAAATTCATACTTAAATTTTTTTTTTCACTTTACTTTTAAGCGTGTTATTAATATGAAAAGCTTATTATAACAAACGCATTGTCACATTACTGAGCCTAAATGATATAAATATAAGAAACGTTTTTCAGCTTGTCCATTCTGAGTATTTGTGGTATAAAAGAATTAATTATCATATCTACTTAAATGGTTAATTAATGCCGTTGACTGATCTACATTATTTAAACTAAAAGATAGACTTACAAATGTAATTGTTTCTTCCTGAACATAATTTTCTGTTGAGCGAGAGATGAAATTATTGATTTTTGTGTATTTAGGTTTCAAAAATTTTATTGTAGTAGTCTATTTTTTAGAACACATAGAATTTTGGCAATTCAGCTTCTTTTTAGGTCCACTTTAATATCACAATGTGTTTGGTTTTACTTTATAGTATGTATTAACTAGCGACCCCCCGTCTCGGCTTCGCTCGAGACTTATTAAATGGAACATCGTAGTGTGTTGACATGTAATGTGAAACGTTTTCAGTTAGAAATTTTACATTTATTCCTGACACTTCTCAGAACAAAAATCTTTTCACTAAAAACATATTTGTTTGCAATCCATACAGTTTATTTGGTCAAATCATAAGCTGTAAAAATTAAAAAAAATTTAATTATGCTGAAAAGTACCGTGCGTTTCTTATGCCATAAAATAATCGTTGGCCATAAGGAGCGGTTGATTTGCAGTTTCTCCGGTGTAATTTACAAAAAGGGCTATTTTTTAAAGATGTTAAAATTTTAAACTCCCAAAAATATATATTAAAACAAATTTTTTTTCTCTTATCTCATAACTTTATTACCAGAGCAACAAAGTCTTGGTGCTTAATCTCTACATTTTTTATTGCCACAAAAATACAAATATATTTTCTACTTATTTAAAAATCTGAATTTAGATCTTTAAAGATTTAAGAGATTACTGTGAGGGTAAAATGAAAAGCTGATCTCTCACGAAATAGATTCTTTATTTGTCGATTTTGAGGCTGCTGTTCCAATCTCGATAAATTTTCTGGATCAGTTTCTTGACGCCTAAAATTGTATTCATTAGATACATTTGAAGTTTTCCTTCCAATTCACCCTCTTGCGAGTTTTGTGACCCCTAAAGGCTATTTTCTGTCAACTTTGTTAAGTTCAAATATATTTGTTGGCAAGGTAGTTTGACGTCCGATTGCCCTAAAAAAGACCGGTGAGCTTCTTAAGTAAACTTTTTCTTGACTAAAGTTTACAGCAATTGTGACTGCCTGGATGCCTCAGGGTGATCTTCTCTGGCCTACTGTTTAAGACCCAGACTGACCGGGAGAAAAATTACAAAGTTCGAAGCTTTGGGGCTAGTTGTAGTGCTCTTTCCCAACTTCTCCTAGTATAACG